GCAGCAGCAGCAGGAGAGAACAGCAGCAATGAAATGCCAACGAATACGCGGAGTCTGCAGCAGCATATTGGAAACCAAAAGCAGCAACTTGAGCTGCTGCAGCAGCAGCAGCAACAGCAGCAGCAGCACCTCTCACTCCTGCAACAGCAGCAAAAGCAATTGGCTGTATGGCAGCAGCAGCAAGAGCAGCTATCTCTCTTACAAAAGCAGCAGCAGCAGCAGCTCATACTTTTGCAGCAGCAGCAACAGCAGCAGCAGCAGCAGCAGCAGCAGCAGCCTAGGAGAGCAAAGACAGGCCCATCACTCCTCGCCGTGGGTCACCGCCTGAGCAGCAGCAGCACGAGCAGCAGCAGCAGCAACAGCAGCAGCAGCAGCAACAGCAGCAGCTGCAGCACAGTATTTAGCTGCGCAAGAGAAGCAGCAGCAGCAATCCCCGTGTATCCTTCAGCAGCTCTCCGCAGCCGCCGCTGTGTTGTTATCCCACCAACCCCAGCAGCTCGCCGTCCTGCTGCTGCTGCTCCTCCTGCTTTTTATAAGCAGCAGCACGAGAAGCAGCAGCTGCTGCAGCAAAGAACAAAGCAGTTGCTGCTGCAGCAGCAGCAGCAAATCAAGCAGCAACGGATTAACCTACAAAGACAGCAGCAACACCTGCAGCAGCTCCTCGCTCACAAGCAGCAGCTGCTGCTGCAGTCTCAACGAGAAGATCAGCAGCAGCAGCAGCAGCAACAGCTGCTGCTGCTGCAACAGCACCAGCAGCAGCTACTGTACCACCACCTTCAGCTGCAAAACCTGCAGAAACAGCAGCAGCAGCAGCAGCAGCAGCACCAGGAGCAGCAGCAGCAGCAGCAGAAAGGCACCTTTGGAGGCTCCCACGGGTATTTATCCATGCCGCAGCTGCAGCAGCTTCACACGCAGCAGCAGCAGCAGCAGCAGCAGCGGCAGGAGCTGCATCAGGAGGAGCCGCATTTGCTGCTGCAGCAGGGCGCAGTATCCGAAACTCCTAGCAGCAAACAAGAAGGACTGCAGCAGCAGCAGC